GTGTGTGTGTGTGTGTCATGCGACTGGGTGGGCGTGACTGTAGTCATGTGACTAGTGGGTCAAAAGACAAACTCACTTTAACAATGTCCTGCTGGAGCAGGGGGTTGGACTAGATGACCTCTGAGGTCGCTTCCAGCCTTGGATTGCTGTGTTGTTCCAAAGCATCCTCTGAAGCTGCGTCTATTGCCAGGTTTGTGGTTCTTCCTCCCTCTTTTTTTCCCCTCCCTCTCTTTCTCTCTCTCTCGCAGCACCCCTCATCCCCCGTTTTTGGCCTAGCAGGCCTCAGGGAAGCCTCCTGGGAGCAAAAACAGACCCCAAATGCTAAAAAAAAGTAAAAAGAAAGATCCTAGCAACACACAGCACAGCTGATCATTGGAACTTTTTAAATTTTTGTTAAACATTTTTTTATTACTGGTTCAGGCAAACTGGCCCGAACCAGTAACATTTCACCCCTGCAATGTGAAGTGGGAAAGGATTCTGTTTGGTCCTACGTATTTTGGATTTAGCTCCACATGGTTGGCTTAACACCTTACCTTAAGCCAAAACCAAACCAAACATAATACATCTCTTAGCAGAACGTTGCGGACTCTGGAAAGCTGCAAACCGTGTGTGGCTGCAGTATTTTACATACACACTGTCAAATCTTGGTGACAAAAGAGCCACGTTTTCCAAATATGATTTTTTCCCTCTTATTTTTTAAAAAATATGAATGAAACCAGAACGCTTCTGGAAGGTAAACATTTCCCTATTAACTCCTCAATAAATAAATAAAAGATAAATTGGGGGGAAGGGCAGTGGGAAACAGCCTCAGTACTCCGCATAATCTCTGCAAGGTCTCCTGAATCCTATTAGGTCACCCAGATAGTAAATTATGATTACTAGTCTAGGTTGTATGAATCCAGCTTTGTGGCTTGCAACTCATGTTTTATATCGTGCGATGGTATATGAAAGGGACGCGGTGGCTCTGGCTAAGACACTGAGCATGTCGATCNATAATTTGGTTTTTAATGGGGGCAATTTGAAACTTGTTTAAACCAAGTTAATGGCCTCTTAGGCTTCCTCCATGAGTAGAGCTCACTTTTTGAGTAAAATAAGAATTATATGGGGGGTGGGGCATCAGGGTTTTTCAGATACTTAGGTGGAGCATGGCCGAAGAAAAAGGTTGGGAACCACTGAATTAAGCCTTCGATGCTTCTTTTATTTGGTTTCCTTCATCAGAAAGGGTTGTCATCAGTTTTACATCTTAAGTCTTGTAAAACATCCCCCCAGCTCATCCCGTTTTTACCCTTAAATCTTCCACCCGCTTCTCCTCTAAGAGGCATTTTGCGAAATATGGGGAGGTGTGATTTTTTTCTTTTATTTCCCCCATCTTTCTCACCTCCCCCCACTCTCTCCATCTTCTCCTCCCAAGGTCTCGCCATGCGGGCACCACGTGGTCGCCTGCAATGCGGGGCGCGCCGCCGAGGCTAAAAAAACGGGGGTGCGCGTGCGCGAGGGCCCGCTCTCCCCCCCCCCACCGCTTCTCCTTCGCCGGTCGGCCCGCAAGGCCGCTCCGAGACGGCAAGGAAATGGGGAGAGGGGAGTCCCGCAGGCGTTTCCTCTCCCTCCCCTTAAGACGGAGAGGCTCGAATATTCGGGAAAAAGGGGTGGCCGGTCATGTCAAGCCTCCCCTCACAAGACGCCCCCCCCCACATTCTCCACAGCCGCCCCGTTGCGTCATTCAGCCGCGGTGCGCTGGCCAATCAAGCGGCGCCCGCCCTCCCGCCCGCCAATCTTTGCCTCAGTCTTGCGCGCCCACCCTCCTCTCCCCCCCCGCCTGCTACAGCCGGGTCCTTCGGGCGCTCCCCTCCCCTCCCCCTCTCACCTGGATGCCCTTCCCCCACCGACTCTGAGGTGAAGAGGAAGGTGCCCTCCTCGATCCTGCTGTCCCGGTAACCATTCATGGCGGGGGCGAACACTGCGAGGCCGAAAGAAGAAGGAAAAAAGACAAAGCGAGGAGGCGTCAAAGCCGTCAGCGGGGATGATAATAGTAATAATAAAAAAACCGTATAGACAGCCGCCTCAAACAACGCGACGGAAGCAGAAGCGAAGCGCCCGAGGAATGAGGGTGCCCGCCGCCCGCCGCCGATATTTATAAGGGAGGCCACGCCCCCTCAGGCGAAACCACGCCTCCTTGCCTTTTCGGGAGGAGCGAGCGGCGGCTTCCCTTCCCCCGGACAAAGGCGTGAGGGGGGGCAGCCCCCCAGCCGGTTTCCGGTGTCCTGAGGTGGTAATTCTGTTCCCCCTCCCCCCCGCCGTTAGGCGCCTCAGCCGACTCACAGGCCCCCATCTCTGAGGGGGAGGCTCCTCCTCTGCCCGGCCGGCTTGTCTCCGCCTACGCGCGGAATTTTCCCGCCTCGCGACTCTTCCTGAGCCAGGCGACTTTTTGGCGGGCGCCAGGGTCTAGGCGCGCCGGGTTTGTGTGTGAGTGTGAAGGCTCTGTGTGTGAAGGCTCTGTGAGTGTGTTAAGGCTTTGTGTGTGTGCGTGAAGGCTCTGTGTATGTGTGAAAGCTCGGTGTAAAGGCTGCGTGTGTGTGAAGGCTGTGTGAGTGTGTGTGTTTGTTAGTAACATGGTTGTTAAGCAAATCTAGCTTCCCCATTGACTTTGCTTGTCAGAAGATCACAAAGGGGGATCACATGATCCCGGGACACAGCAACCGTCATAAGTATGAATCTGTCAAGCATTTGTATGTAAATCACATGATCTATTAAGGTAACTCTGAACAGCTTGCAAATTAACTACCAAGGCCCCTTCATTTCAGCCCAGAGATACGAAGGTAGCTGAAGCTCAGCTGAAATGAGGGGTCCTTTTTGCTTTCTGAGCTTGGTGGTTTTTCTGTCAGATGTTTTATTACCAAACTAGGTAACATCATCTGATGTTACCTGATTATTACAAAATAGAGTTGGAAGGGACCTTGGAGGTCTTCTAGCCCAGCCCCCTGCTGTAGCAGGACATCCTATACCATTTCATTACCAGTCTCTTCTTTAAAATTTCCAATGTTGGAGCAGCTACAACTTCTGAAGGCAAATCGTTGCAATAGTTAATTGTTCTCACTGTTAGGAAGTTTCTCCTTAGTTCTAGGTTGTTTCCTTGATTAGTTTCCATCCATCATTTCTTGTCCTGCCTTCTGGTGCTTTGGAAACTAAGTTGACCCCCTCTTCTTTGTGGCAGCACCTCAAACATTGAAACACTGCTATTATGTCACCTCTATGATCATTTTCTCTAGACTAGCCATATCCAATTCCTGCAAACATTCTTCATATGTTTTAGCTTCCAAGCCTTTAATGGTCTTAGTTGCTCTTCTCTGCACTTTTTCCCAAAAAACTCTCATTTTTGTATTGTGACTAAAACTGGATGCAGTATTCTAGGTGTAATCTTACTAAGGTTTTATAAAGCAGTACTAATACTTCACGTGATCTTGATGCTGCTAGCTAGTTTGGGTAATAAACTTCTATCTGCAAGAGAACCATCAAGCTCAGAGAGCTTCAAGGACCCATCAAAGTAACTGTAGTGTTTCAATGTATCATATGCCTATTTTGATTCAAGGGCAAAGTAGGCCTTTCAGAATATGCATGGCAGTTTATGAATATGTGATTTTGAATAGGCGGGTGTGCAGCTATAGAGGAATTTTTAACATGGGCAAAACCATGTAAGGATTTTTGGGATGGTTTTTTTTTCAAATCAGTCTTGATGTTACAGCCATTACATTTGCTTTTTCCGGAAATCAAAATAAACAAAAAACATGAATATAGAGGTAACACTCGTGTTAATGAATATAAAGGTACATCCCAGAGAATGCTAATTAAAAAAACTAAGACTTTTTTTGTTTCTAGTAAACAATAACAAAGACACTGGGTTTATCTATCATATCTACAGGATCAGAATGATCTGTGGAAAGCTTGGGCATCTAGGAAATTGGTAAGCTGGCTTCAAGCTGGAAATGAGTCAGGTAAGTAAACACACAATTCTCTGAAATCAAAAAGGGACATTTCCTAGAGCAAATATTGTGAGAAAGGTAGGGAGTCCTATTCATTTGGGAATCAAAACTTAAAATGGTATTTCTCTGTCTGAACAGTCACCTTTAGCTCTTTTCGTGATGGTCAGCAGATATAAGATGTGATATGAACTTGTCATACGACAAGATAATAAATAGCAGATATAAAAACCATCACATCTTTCAGTATTATATTAATAAATTGCCCAAAAACACTTTGGATAGTGATATGGGCAGTATATAGATTAAGTAAGTAAGTAAGTTAAGTAAGTAAGTAAATAAATAAATAAATAAATAAATAATAAATAAATAAATAAATAAATAAATAAATAAATAAATAAATAAATAAATAAATATTAACCTGTACTTGTAGAAAGCAGGAGTCAACTGCTGGCCATGATATGGCTTGGTTCTGGTGAAGTATTAGTACAACCCTTCCAACTTCTAAACATAGCTTATGACTTTGTATGTTAACTCTGGAGTTTTCCATAGACACAATTAATAACATAATTGGCATGATGCAACAAATGAGTTGTTTGAACACTTCAGCCTTTTGATTTCAGCTCAATTAACGCCAGCAATATAGATTATTCCGTGTTTATGATGCACTTAATAATGGTTTATTCAGTTCAGTTTTCTGAACTAAAGCACAATAAATAATAAACTACCGAATAACAGACTTGGAAGGGGCTTTGGAGATCTTCTAGTCAGGATACCATCCACACAAATAACTGCCAATCCCTTCTTGAAAGCCTCTAGTGTTTTAGCACCTACAATTTCTGAAGGCAAGCCATTCCACTGATTAATTGTTCTGTCAGGAAAGTTCTAGGTTGGGCCTCTAATTAGTTTTCATCCATTGCTTCTTGTTCTGCCTTCACGTGCTTTGGAGAATAGGTTTCCCCCCTATTTTTTGTGGCAGATATTGGAACACAGCTATCACATCACTCCTAACTAACTAACCAAATTGACTAGATTTATAGAACATACTGTATGTGGTGATTAACTATGATTAATTGAAAGCTATAACCCCGGGGAGTCCAAAGGAGTTGAAGCCCACAAGTCTTAAAGTTCCCAAGTCAGGACACCTCTGGTATAACCCCTCTATATGTTGTTTGATGGCTGGGAGGACTTTCCCCTGGAAAGACACTACGCACTGAATATCAAAGTACTGGATAGAACAATAAACCGGCAGTCCCACTACCAATATATTTTGATTTCTGTTTTCCATACATGCCACTGGCATGGAGTCTCTTGGTTATGGGAAACTAGAGAGAGAACCCGGAAGGTAGCTATTGAGAAATGATGTCAATATTAGCCCTTTTTTCTATTTTTGGAACTGAACACAATGACGACTTGATGTGCAAGCTACCAGCATTATCTGATTACTGGATAAACCTTCACAGAACTTGCTGTAGTCCCAGATGTTCCCTTGGATGTCAAGCCTATTAATCAGAAAGCAAGAATGAATTTGGAACTTCTCTGACATCTTATATGAGTTGGAAATAAAATCATTGAGAGGTAGTAAAGGTATGAAAATGAGTACAAAAGTGAGAAATGGAACTGCAAGAAATACAGCTTACAATCAATACATAAACTGGCCCAGTGGTGAAATCCAATGTTTTTCCATGGGCGTGGCTTGGTGGGGTGTGTGTGTGTGTGTCATGCGACTGGGTGGGCGTGACTGTAGTCATGTGACTAGTGGGTCAAAAGACAAACTCACTTTAACAATGTCCTGCTGGAGCAGGGGGTTGGACTAGATGACCTCTGAGGTCGCTTCCAGCCTTGGATTGCTGTGTTGTTCCAAAGCATCCTCTGAAGCTGCGTCTATTGCCAGGTTTGTGGTTCTTCCTCCCTCTTTTTTTCCCCTCCCTCTCTTTCTCTCTCTCTCGCAGCACCCCTCATCCCCCGTTTTTGGCCTAGCAGGCCTCAGGGAAGCCTCCTGGGAGCAAAAACAGACCCCAAATGCTAAAAAAAAGTAAAAAGAAAGATCCTAGCAACACACAGCACAGCTGATCATTGGAACTTTTTAAATTTTTGTTAAACATTTTTTTATTACTGGTTCAGGCAAACTGGCCCGAACCAGTAACATTTCACCCCTGCAATGTGAAGTGGGAAAGGATTCTGTTTGGTCCTACGTATTTTGGATTTAGCTCCACATGGTTGGCTTAACACCTTACCTTAAGCCAAAACCAAACCAAACATAATACATCTCTTAGCAGAACGTTGCGGACTCTGGAAAGCTGCAAACCGTGTGTGGCTGCAGTATTTTACATACACACTGTCAAATCTTGGTGACAAAAGAGCCACGTTTTCCAAATATGATTTTTTCCCTCTTATTTTTTAAAAAATATGAATGAAACCAGAACGCTTCTGGAAGGTAAACATTTCCCTATTAACTCCTCAATAAATAAATAAAAGATAAATTGGGGGGAAGGGCAGTGGGAAACAGCCTCAGTACTCCGCATAATCTCTGCAAGGTCTCCTGAATCCTATTAGGTCACCCAGATAGTAAATTATGATTACTAGTCTAGGTTGTATGAATCCAGCTTTGTGGCTTGCAACTCATGTTTTATATCGTGCGATGGTATATGAAAGGGACGCGGTGGCTCTGGCTAAGACACTGAGCATGTCGATCAGAAAGCTCGGTGGTTCAAATCCCAAGCGCCGGGTAATGGAGTGAGCTCCCGTTACTTGTCCCAGCTTCTGCCAATCTAGCAGTTCAAAAGCATGTAAAAATGCAAGTAGAAAAATAGGGACCACCTTTGGTGGGAAGGTAACAGTGTTCCGTGCGCCTTCGGAGGTGAGTCATGCCAGCCACATGACCACGGAGACGTCTTCGGATAGCGCTGGTTCTTCAGCTTTGAAACAAAGATGAGCACTGCCCCCTAGAGTCAGGAACAACTAGCAAAAAGGGAGCCTATACCTATTATGTACTGTGTGAACCATTGATTAACCTTGTTTATTGATTATTTAATTAACAAGGTTCAACAAAAGATGACCACAGATTGTTTGATCCAGACTCATGCCTTGATTAACTTTGTCTTGCCAGATGAGATCAATGGGATACTTTTTTACTTAATCAAAAAGCATTAAATAATAGAATGGATACAACAGTCATTTGACTAAATATTTATTGTGTGGCAGGTTGAAATCTTTCCATATAATAGTCTCTTCTAATGTATTGTTTGTGATTGAGATTCTTCAGAACAAGATAACATCAAGGGAAGCAAGGATAAGAAGAGCTTTTATGATCAAGAGCAGTTGCAGCTGGCAGGAAGCAGCAATAAAAAGCTGATGATACAAGAGAGCATTTTGGGAATGAGAAATCTAATTTTTGGTAGAAATAAGTGGTCTCAAATGCATATATTATAGATAAGTGATACTTATCTGAGTCACAATCAATTGTGAAAATTCAATGTTCTGTTTGAGCATTCAGGGGAATAGTTTTTAGCATCAGCAGAGGCCATAAATGAAGGGGAAAGTGTGTGTTTTGTCTTCCTGAGTTGGTCTCCAATATTTTTAAGGAAAGCCAATAAAGAATTGCTTGAAAGTTCCTATCAATTAGAAATTAGGTACCCAAAGTGGTTTATTTGCTGGACAAATTCAGTTTCTAAGCAAGTTTGCTAAATAAGCCACAACTACTCAGTTTCACATAATACATAAGCAAGAACCATTCAAACTCTGGACTGGTGACCCCTGGGGAGGAATTTGATTGTGCTTGCAGAAAATAGCAATGTTGTTACACAAACCCCTGCTTTGGCTGAGTGAGCCATGAAGAGTGGAGAGTCACTCCTGGAACAAGTCTTGAGAGATGGCTACGCCTGCAGTAGATTTTATCTTAGCAGTTTTAGACTGGAATGTAGAAGCACATTGGCATTCTTAGGAATATAAGTACAGGTGGTCCTCAACTTACAGCCACAATCAAGCCCAAAATTTATTTTGCTAAGTAAGACATTTTTAATGGAGTTTTGCCCCATTTCATGACTTTTCTTGCCACATTTGTTAAGTGAATCGCTGCAGTCATTAAGTTAGTAACAAGTTGTTAAGTGAATCTGGCTTTCCCCTTGACTTTGTTTGTCAGAAGGTTGCAAAAGGGGATCATGTGGGCATTGAAACCATCATAACTGTGAGTCATTGTCAAGCATCTGAATGTAAATCACGTGACCATGGGGATGCTGCCATGCTCATGAGTGTGATAAACGGTTCATAAGTCACTTTTTTTCAGTGCCGTTGTAACTTCAAATGGTCACTAAGCGAATTGTTGTACCTGAAGGACTACCTTTATGCCAGTGAAGTTAACATTTATTCATTGTTTTAGATATACCATATTTAGCCTTTGAAAATGTGGGTGTTTCTTTGGGATAGTAAAGGAAAAGAAAAGACAAATAGATGGCCTCTGCATCAAGAAAGTTTGTTTTTTTAACACAGATATTTTTGCTCCTTGCCCTAACCCCAGGGAAATAAGTTTTATTTGTGAGAGATGTCGTACATACGCTTTTATCATTGGGGATGGGTCACAATAATGCAGTGTTTGAAAACCTTCATGCTATGGCAAATCTAGACAGCATAGTAAAAAGCAGAAACATCCAACAAAAGTGTATCTAGTCAAGGCTATGGTTCTCCCAGTTGCAATGGATGGCTATGAAAGTTGGACCGTAAGAAAGGCTGAGCAC